AAGTCAGGGCATGGCTAACTCACAGATTGAACCCTGAAACAACCTCTGGGCTGATCTAAGTCAGGGCATGGCTAACTAACAGATTGAACCCTGAAACAACCTCTAGGGTGATCTAAGTCAAGCCACTGCTAACTTCGTCGTTTGCGACAAAAGTCAGTTCACAAGGAAATAATAAAAAATAAAAAAAGCATAAAAAAACACCACTATATAAATCATGACTTACCTGGACGACAACAAAATCTTGTCTCAATTCAAGTGTTTGCACTGATTGAACGTGATATATTCTAGTTTCGCTCTTTTAAGTCTGTATACTTAAGAAATAAAAGCCATCTGGACGTATTAGTTTTAATTTCAGCTGCAAATAAATCACTTCTTATTTAAAAAATTGGTTATTAGAGTATTAAATTTTACATTTTAAAATCGGTGACGAGAAAAGAAGAAGATTAACTTTAACACAGCATGTGGTTACTTTCAGTTTAAATCAACGGCACCAATCTATGACATAAATCTTCGAAGAAATCTTCCAATATGCCACACCAACTATATCTTCTCTTGAAAAAAATGTCAGCAAAATTTTGTTTACAAATAATTTGTTGCTTTAACGTAAATGAAAGATAAAAATTCCATTTATCGTTAAGTTCAGTTATTACAAAGCTCCAACGTTGTTCTTTTATGCACCTGAAAATAGCCCATGTAATCACTTATTCACTAATTTGAAAAACAAGTTTAAGAAATAGCCGTTCTTTCATCATTGATAGAATACKCTCTGTAGGTCTTCAATTCAATTAATAATTGAATTTGTTTTTGTCAAAAGTGGATAATAATTTTTTGGATAACACCAAGGATTTATGCGTCTATGATAGCGCTATCCACTCTTCATACAACCGGCTGGAGCGGATCCAGTGGGGGGGTAGGGGTTAAATTGGGTGAATTTTCAAATTTCGCAAAATATACGGCAGAATTGGCATAGCTATGACATAATTTTACAACTTTTTTAAATGCTTTAAAAATTGCATTTCCGTGGGTCTCAAATTCGGAAGTTCCTGGGAGATCATGTACGGACCTCAATAATTGCTTCAAAATCACCCCTCTTTTGAAAATCCTGGAGCCTGCAACCGGGTCCAGATGTTTTTTATGGAACCAGGCGAAGTTTTCACGGATAATTAAACAGAGACCAAACTATCTTATAATGATAAAGAGTTTCCGAGGTTTGCTGTATTAGGGGCGAAAATTGATCTCGTTATTAATCTTCTACGATACCACAGCATTGCACAGGTGCGTCGGACAACATTTAAAAAATTCAAGTGAATTTGGTTTTCAGAGTTATTTTATTTTATTTTATTTATACTTTTGAAAGATATTTTACGATTAACAGTCGAATTGAAGAATCTAATAGGGTTGATGATAAGAATAATAATGATCTATCCATCTATTAATAATGATAATTGTTAATAATAAATYAGATTATTATTTATGTACATTTTAATTGATTTAGTTTTAGCTGTCTTAAAAGCAAAAAAAATCTGTCTCATTTAGATACACAAGTTTATAAGTTAAGATTGTCAGGTGTCGCCCTTTAAATATATAGTGGATTATCATTATAGTCATCATTGGCGGATCCAGGGGGGGTCGAGGGGGTCCACGGAACCCCCCTTGAAGGTAATAGAAATATGTYTTATATAAGTTTTAATAAAAAACTATTAGTAGTYTTGCGTTGGGTCGTGTTATTATAGCTTGGTCCATTACTAGATATAACATTAGGTGATTAGAGCCAATTTTTTTGTCAAACATCGACTAAACAAAAGAGAATTACGGTATACACAGTTTAAGAAACGGAACCCCCCTTTGAAAAATCCTGGATCCGCCACTGAGTCATGTATGAATACTTTTAGTGAAATCAATGGAGTACAAGTTAACTTACTTACCATTGTACACTAACTTGTAATAAATGGAATAMACATTTTCAAAGTATATAATGCATGCAGTTTTAAGATTTTTGATAGCACACGAACATGCAAATCAGTCAGATCCATTATTCTCGTCTTCGTTGGTGTCACCATCTCTTCCCTGAAGCTCAGATGCTGCATCTTCTGGTATTTTACTTATACCTTGMTGYTCCTGTCTTCGTTGGTGTCACCATCCCATTCCTGGASTTCAAATGCTGCATCTTCTGGTATGTTACTTATACCTTGTTGCTCGTTGCTACCAATCAGTCCTGATGCCATTTTGGGCTCTGTACATATTCCTGACACATCTCCGTGTGCATCGCTCACCAACTGGAACACCTCAAGGCAGCATGTGATGTTACATTGTGGCTCTTTCTTCAACTGTATCAAGGTATTCACAAGGGTTGTTATGTAATTCACTGCGAAAGAGAAGATATATTTGACAATTTATATAGTGATTTAAAAAAAAAACATTTAGTG